TGACTTTGCTCATCAAAAATGTGACCAGCCTTTTTGAAGTGAGCATTAAAGGCATTAGACATACCATCTGAATCTGAAATAAAAGAATCACTGACCTTCAGTTTTTGTGGGAAACTAGAAACCTTCTTGTTCTGAAGTGATTTAATTGTTTTCCAGAATTTGGAATGGTCATTAAAACAATCAGTGGTTAAGCTCAGATAGTAATCAGCTTTAGCTTTTTTAATAAGGGCAGAACATTTATTTCTGAGGACACGAAAAAGAAGCCACACTCACTAGTGTTAGACTTTCTAGCTAAGGACCATTGCTTATTTCGATCATGAATGAGATCAGATAGTTCTCTAGTAAACCATGGAGTGTTCCTATTCTTAACTCTGAATTTTCTAAGGGGGGCATGTCTATTAATAATTGATAAAAAGTGATCAATAAAAAATTGGACAGCAACATCAACAGATGGAATTAACGCTGTGAAGTGCCATTTAACCTCCGCCAGATCGTGTAGGAAAGCCTGCTCAGAGAAGTGTTTGAAGCAGCGCCTGAGCACAATAAGGCCCTTGGCTTTGGGCAACTTAGTGCACCTAACGCAAGCGATAGTGCAATGGTCACTGATATCATTAGGAAAAACACCAACAGACACATACTTATGAGCTGCATTTGTTAGAATGACATCTATAAGGGTATCGTTATTGGGTTTGGCAGGGTTTATTCTAGTGGGACTATCAATAAGCTGAGTTAAGTTCAAAGAATCACAAACCTGCTTAAACTGTGAAGATTTATCACTTAACCAGTCCCAATTTAAATCACCCAATAAAATGATTTCAGAAGAAAACTTAGACAAAAATTCAGTAAGGCTAGTAGTTGCATCCATGATGGCCGATGGAGGCCTATAACAGCCAATAACAGTGAGAGGAGCATTTGCTATAGTTATTTGGACTGCTAGCAACTCAAATTGCCTTGGAATTGAAATTGAGTGAAGGACAGAGCATTGTAGTTTCTCAGCAGTGTATATTGCAACACCACCAGCTCTGCCCTTACGATCAGCTCTGAATACATTATATCCATCAATGTGAATAACAGTGTCAGTGACACTGTGAAGTACTATAGTGGAATGCTGTGGCACAGCATTCGCACTAATTAAGGGGAAGAATAAAGAATTTAAGTACTATAGTGGAATGCTGTGGCACAGCATTCGCACTAATAAAGATTCAAAGAACTATAGTGGAATGCTGTAAACAGCCTTCGTTGTAACAGATCTGGTAGGCCACGTTATTCTTTACTTTCTACGTCTTTATATGTAGAAGATATAATTTTTTCTCCGTCATGTTGTTTCCATAGCAACAACTTCCTGTCAACAGCCTAAACTCGCCTTCAAAATAAAAGCACAGGAAGTTAACCTAAATTACATTTAAGACATACAACTGTGACGAAAGTAACAAAAAACAATGTAATATCCTTTTCAGTTTCACAGAACACAAATTGAGTTATTTACATAATATGTTTACAGTACTGTCGATTGTTATTTTTTTATATTCTTTGCGGAATTTGGCCGTGTAAAATGTCCTCTTGGGTTGCTGTACAGCCAATACGTGACGTCATTGGTAAGCGTAACGAACCCCGAACAGATTCTGGTACCTACACCGCCACTGTGGGCTAAGCCCCGAATGTTTCCAGGTCCAGGCGACGCCCCTGCCCGACAGTGAAGAATAAATATATTTATAACTAGTTTAGCTTGTTCCAGAGGTAGATAAAATAGCTTAGTGTGTTAGGTCTAACTCTTGTGTGTTTTGCTCCGCTCACCGGTCCGTCACAGCGGGTGGAGCTGCAGAATTTCTGCTTCACACACGTTGCATACCGTCTTTTTCGGACACCTTAAAATACTGCCAGACTGGTGAAGCCATTTTGGCGAGCTTGTTTTGCCGCGCACAGACAAAAGTGTCATGTATTTTACGTCATGTGATCGGCTCTCCCGATCGGCATTTATAGAGAGCACCGATCGATCGGCAGAGAGTGAATATGGGCCGATATCGATCGGCGGCCGATCGATCGGAGCATCCCTAATTCTGTCAGCTTTGTTTGTAAATAATAAATCTATCATAGTCTTGGAGGTTTTGGTTATTCTAGTCGGTTCATCCATTAGTTGTATTAAGTTGTGTTTATCCATGATCCGTTTTAAGTTCTTTCTATTTTGTTTGTCATTCCAGTTGATGTTAAAGTCTCCTAGAATAATTAGCTCTTTGTTGGAGTCACTGGTAAAACTCATGCTGACTTCCTGAGGCCTGTACTACGAAGCCGGATTTTCGCTTAGCGAGCTAACTTCAGGGTAAACTCTGGGTTTCCGGTCCTATGGCGCTGGTTCTCTTTTTAGCGGGCTAGATCTCCATGGTAACTTATGCTGAACGGCTAACCTGGGGGGTATACTACGAATCTAGTTAAACATATCCTGGATATGTTTTGAGTTATCCGGTTGACTAAATTAAAAAAAAAAAACGCTCTCGCTAAACGGTCCTACGACGCTGGCTATCAACCCGATCACTCAAGCCAGCCGTGTCCTATCTAGTTAGGTGCGCGTTCACATAAAAGGGGTGGTCTTTGGAGTGTTCGACCAATCACAAACATGGACAAGCCGTGTACTGACAGCGCAGCGCGTCATATATTTCCTGAATGAAAAGTCAACTAATATTAGACAAATATGAAGACGTTAAACTTTAAACATCCATGACTTAAACACTTTATCCAGGATCAAAGCCACATAGTTGCAGCTGCAAGGTGAATACTGCTGGTAAAAGAAAAAGTGTTTGAATACGTTCATTAACAGTTTTATGATATCACTGCTGCCCCGTCTAAGACACGAGTGGATCTGACTTTAATTACATTTGACTCGAGTGTTTCGTCAACTTAATGTGTTGCTTAAAATAATACTTCTGCATACAGTATGTGACACTGTGAGTGTTGCACGCCAGTTACGGCTCAAGAAGCTGACTCAAATAAGGAAATATATGATACATTATGATGTGATATGAATGATAATGGGACACATCGACGTCTGCACTCACAGTGCCGCGGACTGGAGGCTACGTAATGTTACTTTGATCCGGTTACTTATGTTGTGGCAGATATTTAAGTAAGCTTTCTTAACGTTAATGTTATAATAGTCAGATTGCTCTGAAGATGGGAGGTGATATTCTATTAATTTTCACGTTCACACAGTCGGTGATTTTGGCCGGCTGTCTTTCCTGCAACGGTAGTTTAAACTGCCGTTGGATGCCCAGACAGAGGGGGTCCATCTCCCACATCTATTCATTCATTATGTCAATAGATGCCTATTCTATGAACAAGACAAACACGGTTTTGGAGCAGGAATTGAACATTTAATTATCTGAAGAGTGGTGGGATAATATATCTGATCGAGTGCCAACTTTCACCTTATACGCTCGTCTTGGGCTCATACAGTTCTAAATCCTACATATGTTACACTTTTCCAAATCGAGGCTATCCAAAATATACCCGAATGTAATTGACACATGTGACGGAAGCCATCTCATCCTGTGTGACCTTAGTCATATGTTTGCCCAGTGTCCCAAATTGCAAAATGATTGGCATTTAATCTGCAAAACCCTCCCAGATGTTCTCAAGATTACCCTGATGCCATCGTTGGTGTCCCTAAAGATTTGTCCTCATTAACCTCCAGACAGCAGATATTGTCTCTTTCACCGCCCTGTTGGCCCGTCGCAGAATGCTTCTCAATTGGAAGTCCAAACATCCTCCCTCTGTTTCTGCCTGGCTAATAGATGTGATGTGGTGATCTTTTTTTTAATGCCTTGCAAAAGCTTCCCTCTGGTGAGGAAATGTAATTCAATGTCAATGCCATAAGCATTAGCCGGCCTTGCTGCCATAGACCCTGTGTGTGGTCCGAACATGGTCCAGGCAATTTTAAATTGTATTATTGTTTTATTTAGTGGGAATGCCGATACAGCATTCCAACTATATGTTATGCTACGGACAAAATTCTTATTATTATTCCATCCAATTATTTTGTCCGTCTTCTCCCACATTCAACATCGCAGAAACTCCGTTCAAACATCAAAACGTTCAGCTCGGTCGGGAATCGATGGCTATTACTTTTATCATTCATAACTTTCATAATTCCAGAGATACATCCCATAATACATCACATTTTTAACATGGAAGTCAATGGAGACATTCTTCAGACTTCAACAAATCTTCATGCGACTTCAACTGCTAACTGTTCATTCATACTTTCACTCAGAAACCTCATTCCAACTTTCCAAAAAACTTTCCAAAAATGTTACACATCTTTCTGACATTATTCGTGTAACACAACTTTTAAATCTGATTCTTACTTTTAGAGATATTAAACATTGTCCAGACCTTGGTAAAGAGGTTTTCTTCAGATTTTAACATTAACTAGAGTGCGTGATGTCACAGCTAGAGTGGAGGAAATCTTGAAATTTGCCTTCATATATATTTTTTTAAAACTGCCATAATTCCCAAACCCTACATTCTTGAGACATAATTTGTCATGACAAACGTAGGAAAACATCTCGTAGCTTGAAAAATGCCAAATAATTAAGCAAAAATAATTAAACAAAATGCCTCTTGAGGGCATGAAGTGACAAAAACGTTCAACATGTCTCCATTAAAACCCATTGTAATTTCAGGCTGATATTTCCTCACAGCAGCAGCCGCACACCTTTAGTTAAATTGCCAAAAAGGCCACATTATTAACCCGAAAGTACACAAAAATTACACTTCAGATACTCAACTTCCTTGACATGCTTCACGTTTTGAAATTTCACAGATATCTGTTATCGTTCTTCCACAAAACGTTCACATGTAAGAGGTTTATCTGTTATTCAGAACAATGCAAACCTTTGATCTCTTCATAGCTCGTTAGCTCAACTATAAACACCTGTGAGGAGATACTGTCCTTTGGTATAATGCACATATGTTGCTGCCTTCATGAACCTCCGTGTGTGTTTCAGAGAGTGACCTATGAGACGAAGAGGCCCACCCACGATGTGAGGACCATAGCGGAGGTGGAGGGCGGAGTGGTGAAGGCTGGCAAGGAGTCGGAGTGGAAGGAGCAGATCATCGTCCCTCCTCTTCCTCAGTCCTCCCTCATTGGCTGTGATCTTATCAAGATGGACTATTATGTCAAAGTAAGATATGCCATCATCCTTTGGTAGTCAATTTTACAAAACAATATTGTTTATGTACTTTTGGTTTTCTTACTTAGTGAATGTATTTACTTTACTCAATTACTCAGTTGCCATAGTCATATGGAGCAAAATAGGTTTAAAATACATCCTCTAACTATAATATAGTTGGACCAGCAATTTCTATTCCTGTTTAACTTTTATTTTGGAAGTACCAGTTTCCTACTGAATGAATATCCTGCTCAACACTAAAAATCATCTTTATACCAGTCTGCTTGTGATTCATTTGTGTTCCTTTTTTATTTTATGTTAAGGTTTCCAGATGAATTGCAAGGGGAAAACATTATTGTTGTTAATACTTTAAAAATGTTTTTATCAATTAATGTTCGATTTTTAATATCAGGACTTTTTTCTTTTAGTCTATTTTGTTTCTCCTTTTTATTTGTATTATAATATAAGTAGCAGTAGTGTCGTCATTACAAAACATACAAAATGTAACTGTTGATCCTTGTCAGCCCTGAAAATGTCTATACACAGAACTGTTAAAAAAAACCTGATAATCATCAATCCGTCTGAAAATAAAAGGGCTTAATAAATGTATATATATTTATATAAATTAAGCCCTTTTATTTTTTATGTCTGATATTCTATAGCCCCAATGATCAAATCAATAGTTGATTGGAGTGGTTTGTAGAGAATGATTCAGTTTTCCTCTCTTGTGATTGCTCAGGTCTGTCTGAAGTCTCCAGACGTCATGTTGATGTTGCCCATCCACATCGGGAACGTCTCGCTGGACAAAAAGCTGCGCTCTTCTAAGAAAGCAGCTGCTGCCTGTTCTGCTGAAGACACACAAGAATCTGCTAACCCCCCCTCCACCAGCACCACCACCCCCCCTCTGCCCCCTCGCACTGCCCCCAAACCTGGTCCACGTCCCACCCCTCGCTCCAGGGCGTCCTCCCATAACCCCCACAGTGCTCCTCCGGCTGACTCACCCCAGGGAGCCGAGGGGGGGGCTCCCATGAACGATGGCCTTCCAAACAAGCGCCAGTCTCAGCTGGTGTCCCCCAATGCTTTCAGCTACGCTCCCGGCCTCTTCTTCTCCCAGAACCAGCAGCACAACGGGCCAAGCCCAGCCCCCCCTGGGTCCACGGGGGCCACAGCACCGTACCCCCCTGAGAGCAGCGCCAGCTTAATGCCAACACCACTCATCCTGCCTCCAGACTACGGCGCCTCAGCTTATCCACAAGGTCAGTCTGCACACGGTGAAGCATCCAGGCTGAATAAGGATTAACCTGTAGAAGGTGAATAGTCTGTTTGCAGCTCATAGAGTCCAGTTGTGAACCCAGGAATGTACCCCAAAGTTTTATGTTAGAAATGTATAGTACGGGTCCCCAGCACATAGAAACTGCTGGATGCTAACCTGCATATGTTGGAAAATTTGTACAAGTAGCATAAGTTGCATTAGTTAGCACTAATTAGCATATGCAGACAAAAGTTCAAAAATGGCTTGGCCGATTTGGGCAATTTTGGAGTGGTTTTGGGGGTTATAGAGGATGTTGAATCAATTCCTGACATTTTCAGGATCAAAAAGGGCAGTCTTAACCAATAATTGTACTAACAGTATGATTTTTATGAATTTCGGGTCGTTTTCAAAGTTTTAGGGGACTCAAAACTGCAATTTATTTATTAAAGAAATCAGAAATTGATTCAACATCCTCAATGTAGCTCAAAAACCACACGCAAACTGTCAAAATGAGTCGACGCTATACTTTAGCTATTGTCTGTAAATGCTAATGAATGCCACTTAACCTCTTACGCACCGCCCCCCCGGTACCGGGCGGATAAACGCGTCATTTGCAGGAAACAACGTCTAAGGAATCTTAATATTTAATAAACTATGAATGTTTTATATCCATGTAACGGGAAGAAACTCAGCTAACTGATCTTTTTAATATTTTTTTCCAAAAAAAACCCACAATGCTAACACTCAGCCTCTGAATTAGCCACGAGCGAAAAAATGTAACCTATCACTGCACCTAAACTCACTCATAACTCCCTTATTACTTATCCTAGATGCACAGCCAACCCATCGATTAGCATCTCCTGGAGACACAGAATCTGGGGGTGCCCACCTCAACACTCAGTGATAAACATTTGCGACGCTATAAACGAAAACTTACATCAAAACATGTGGCGCTAGGTAGCTACAAAAGCTAACATGGCTTACCTTGGTCAAAACTGGTCTTCAATGGCATTAAAACGATAAAAAACGATGCTGCAGTTAATCCATAGGTTAATCCAATGTGTCTGTGTCCTCTTTGAAATGATTTCTGATAATCCATAAGCAATAAAACAGCTTTTTCGTTTCCAGATGTCAGAGCTAAAGATAGGTTCGCTCTGGTGCAAACCTGCATGCGCGAAGCCCTCACCGTTTGTTTTCACAACGAGTGTGTGTGGGGGCATCCCCGTTCGATTCTATTGGCTCTAACGGTCAGAAAGAGGTGTCGACCATCAAAATCGACTAAGGGGGGCCAGAGATATGGGAAAAAAAACATTTTCACCCAAATCACCTCAGAGGTGGGGTGGTTTTGGCTAAACCTCTCTAAAAAGGTCAAATGTCACTTGTTTTGCATCAATCTTGATACAGGGTACTTATTATATGTTGTACTTTGGATTCCTAAAGCTTTTAGTCTACTAACCCATCATCCAAGGGTAGTTTTCACTATAAGTAAAAAAGAATTCTTGGACGGACACTATAATTTACAGTTTTTTACTATGTTAAATCTGAATTTTCTTTAAAATAAAAAACATCTATATTGATTCTGACTTTTCTACATCCAACTCACAGGTTTATCATTACTTTGAGAAAAAAGATTATTAATTTAACCCTTTTAGAAGGGAAGATATGGTATTTGTTCTGGGAATGGCATTTTCGAGCCTGAGACCTGAAAAACAGGCTCAGAGCTTAACAGGTTAAGCCAATTGTGCAAATTGCCCAAAATTATGCAAATTAGCATCCAGCAGTTTCTATGTCCTGGGGACGTGTACTATTCATTTATATCATCAAACTTTGGGGTCCTCACACATCTGGCAAATAGACTAAAATTGTGTTTTCAAAACAATAGAAACACCTGTCCCCATAATGCACTACTACAGCACTCATACCTAACTACAGTAGTAAACCTAAAGGTACATGTAACTAATTTCAACTAGGGCTAAGGCATAAACATTCCAAACTCAACAACACATTTTAATTGTTTTACACTACTTTTGTTGTGGAGATGACTGCAATCCTTATAGTTTTGCATTGCCTTGCACTCTTTTTGTAGGTTTGAGAGTCTTTTAGCAGTGTGTGTGTGTTTGTGTGTGTTTCCACTCTGCAGGCTTACAGGGCTGACGCTGCTGACTTGTGGACAGGGTGCTGTGTAGCAGTGTGTGTGTGTAGCAGTGTGTGTACATTGTGAGTGTAAAAAGCAGCTGGTCTGATGTTGACTGTCTGTTACAGAGGCTCCCCCTTCCTATGATGACAGCTTCAACACATGAAGAGGATGAAGAGGCAGCAACCACCAAGGAAACCATCAAACTAATATCCCCTGGTATAATGAGGGAACTTTACCTACCTGTCAAAGGACTTTCTAAATGTCAGGTTATCAACATTTTGAATTTTAATGAAACTGGACTGACCTCACACTCTGCTGCCCAGTGAACAAATACCTTTAATAATCTAAAGGGGTTAGTCTTTCTTCAAACTACAGCCAATCAACACTGTCGGTCCTTTTTGGTATGCTTTTGCACTTTGAAGGGAATCTGCAGATTTTATTTGCTGTTTGAGCAGGAGTCATGTTATTAGTAGGGGGTTATTTAGAAGTCCCTCAGATGGCGTCTGTGATGTCAAGTTCGGAGGTTTTATGTACGGAAACCTGTGCAAAACAAACATCTCATTTAGTCTATTATCATATTTTTTCCAGAAGAATAATAGGAAAGGAATCTGTGGGTTTTTACTTGAAACAGGGGGATCATCTTCTGGCACGTCTTTTCATTTAATCTGAGTTTCAATAACACTAGATTTAATGGTTTGGTTGAAAATATTTGTTTTATTTGCTTTTGATCAGGAGTTTTTATGTTAAGATGATAAGGATAATCCAGATATTGCTCTTGTCTAAATATATCTTCATAGGGCTATAATGCATGATACATTTTGGCCTTTTAAGATTTTTGCCATGTTTGATCCTTTTTTACTTTTGTGCCCTTGCACTATGTTGTGTTGTGATTGTGTTGGTTCTTTATACACCAGACATACTTTTTTAAATTTCTTTTAGCAGCATCACTGTGATTTCAGGTTGTATAAGCAGGTATTGATGTAGTTCAAATCTTCTGTCTTGATACTTTTTTTAATAGATTTTAATATTTCTTGATAAAGTTAAATCCTTCACACATTCATAAGACAACATTATATTTATTTATTGTCTCAGTGTTCTAAACTGCTGTCTGGATTTGAATAAATCTGTTAAAACCAATTGTGTCAAACAGTCTCATAATTCAGATTCTGATTTGGAAGGTTGTTTCATTATAAACACACAATTCTGTGTGTTTAGAGTTGTTGTTAGCAGTTCCACCAGAGGAACGTTTCCCCTCTTAACAACTCGACATTTTGACAAGGCTACATTTTTATCATTTCATTTTTTAGACTAAAGAGGTCAAGTATATTCATTACTCGTTATTCTCTAATAGTTCATTAAAGACTGTATATAATGACTATTTTGCACATCCCTTTCAAGATTTCAAGAAGTTCTAAGGTTTATTGACATATCATATACAAAACTACGGTGTAGTTATGCAATGAATGAAAAGGTCGCAGGTTCCTCAACAGTGCATTACAAGACATCTATCAATATGTGTGTACCTCCACCATTAAACTGTCATATTCTGCACATTTCTTATACTATCTACATACATCTTATAAGAGTATAATTAATATGTATAATATCAGTTCAAATAAGTGCTTCAACATAGTTAACATTGCAGGAAAGTTGATTGTCAAGTCCCAAAACAAACTGCAATATATTAGACGGGTCAGGCTTAATATTTATCTGTAGATACCCCCAAAGCTTTTTTCTTATTTAAAAGAATACCTTAACCTAAAGTATTATTTAATGCTTAAATAAATCCTAATTAGTTTGTCTGTTTTGCACATCCTCCTATTAATATCTTTGGACATCCTGCACTAAACTGTTTTATTGTAGAGATCACTTACAGTATCTTCTTGATATTTTCTATTCTATATTTCTATCATTGACCCTATTACTTATCTATCTACTTTCCCCCTATTTTGTATGTACTCTTAATATTTTAATTTTTTCATCAAATATAACATATTCAACAAAACATGCAGCAAAGATTAGCAACACAACCTTACCTGCATTGCAATGACTGTAAACATGTAATAACGTGCTTTAACCACTAGGTGGTGCGGGTTCAAAAACAGTGTTAACACAATCAATTATACTGCTGTTACCGGTTTAGTTTATGACGGATGTATTTTGTTATCCACACATATATTGTTTTGATATTTGTAACACCAAACTGACAGAAAAGTTGGTCTTAACATCACCCAGTGGTCTAGTTAATAAAACATGATAATATCAAACATAATATTACTATTCACTTTATTGTGAAATTAAAACAGAACGGTAAAGAAAAATACAGTTTCCGGTGTCCATGTGAGGCCCAATCTCTCTCGATAAATAAAGAACTACGACAGATGTTTAATATGTAATGCAGCCGAACCATTTATTACAATGCATTTATGTGATGACTTTCAAAGAGTAAAGAAAGCACTAAAGTATGATTTTATCTTTTACGAAACGTTTTTTTCATATGGAATAATCTAGGGGCACTGCTGCTCCAACATCCAATCACAGAGCTTGAGGACTAATCACGGGGTTTGTCAAGCAAAGCGGACTGGTCCCAAACGATAGCTGAGGATTATGGGTAGTGTAGTGTCTTTGGCCAACCTAAACAATTTGTTTCTCCGAATCGAAGGGGAAAAACACAAAAGCATTGTACATTTAAAACCAATCAATGTTGTGTAATTAACAAGGATAATCTGGTGTCTTTGAGTTGATGAGTAGTGCAGATATCACTGTAAAATCAATTGATATTAGAGAGAATACTTACGTCTTCCGGGTGTAAAATTCACTAAAGCAACTACTGTGGCCAGAAGATAAATGCCAGCAAGATTGTTCGAATTAATAGCAGCCCCGTGCGTGGTCGTGCGCATTGTAGGAAAGCAAGACAATAAATGGCAAATATATGTAGAAAATAAACGTATTTGAGTTGCGTCCAAAACAAACGTAGGCCTAATGTGGGAGAAAATACTTTTCTAGCTAAACATAATTGAGAATGCAGTTTAGTACTGTGGGAACGTAATTTTGAGGAGACAGGGTTGTTTCAGTCTAAACAAAGCATATTCAGCCTTTTTATTAAATATCTCGTTTATTTTAAATTTGCATTTGCAAATGTCATAAAACAAACTGTCAGAATGATGTCTGGCCAGTTATTTTTCCTTTTAGTTAACCAATCGCCATACATCAATGTACAGACCAATGTATTTTATCAGCGGGTGAATGGCAGTTATATCTCTCACAGGCTCCACCCTCTACTGGACTCTATGGGTACTCCCCTCGATCCTATCTATGCACGCATTATTTCACTGAGACTCATAACCGTAGCCGGCCCCCTGGGCGGGCCTACCTGAATGCGCGCGCATCCACTGCATAAGAGGCGGCCTCGCCCGCTCACTGCTATCCCTTTCTCTTTCAGCTAAGCAGCTATTTGAGTAACTGAGCGAGAGATAACAGGATAGAAAGTAACAAGGACAAGTTTTTCTTCGGACAATCGAATATGGACTCACCTGAGGAGCGCCCGTGTCCTTCGTGTCCGGGTTCTGTCAGAAGTGATGATCCCCATACTCGGTGTATCGAGTGTCTGGGGTCTGGCCACGCGGTGATTAACCTGCCACCATCGGCAGTCTGCAGCGCCTGTCGGCTATTGACCCGATCCAGCTGCCTGCACAGAGTGGCGGTGTTCGAGGGGTGTTACGTCTCGCCAGTGGAGGGCCCAGAGCTCGACGTGGTGGAGATGGAGGACCTCGTGCAGGGAGTGCCCTTCGTCTTCGCCATCCCAGCAGCCCGGACGGGTCCGGGTATCGGAGAGGAGGACGACGATGATGACACCTCATCGTCCGTGATTTCCGCTGACCGCCTGGAAGGTCATCAGCAGAGGCCGGCTCGTCAGGACTTCTCGGCGGTGATGGCTAGGGCGGCGGAGCGTGCAGGCTTGCCACTTCCCCCACAGATACCTCCGAGGCCGGTGAGCTGCCTGCGTCAGGGCTTCTACGGTGCGGGCCGTCCAGCACAGCCGGCCTTCGTTTCACCCCCCCTACCGGATATCTGGCGGTGTGTGGAAGCCACGTGGCGGGAGCCACTGAAAACGAAGGCTACGGTGGCTACTTGGGCAGGAATCCTCAAGGTGGAGGGGCACTCAGACACGGAGTGTCCCGGTGTGCCCCGCTGGAGGATAGCCTAGCGGCCCATCTGCTTCCGCAGACAGCCGGGTGGGCAGAGGGGAGAAGGCGCCTGCCCCCGCTGTCGCGTGACCGCGAGAGGCTTGTATATCTGGATAAGATATTCAAGTATTTTGCTGCGCTTCTGCTCCGACCCCCGCTCCGCCGCAGCGAAGGGGTACCGGGTGGGGAGCTCCGTCCTCCAGGAGTGGACTGACGGTGGGAGGAAGCGTCCCGGCGGAGAGAGGTGTTTTCTCCGGCCAGGACGCGAGGGCGAATCCCGCCTCCTCCCTGTTTAACCCATTGGTTACAAAGTCTTCTTTTCAAATAAAAAAGATAAAAAGTATTCCAGTCTGAGTGTCTCTTCTTTCCACACACCCACACAGCCACGTAATGTTGATCGTACAGTTTCCCCACTCGCTGCCCAAGTTGTAACTCCAGTTAAGGAGGCAGCTAGTGCGCATGCGCGGGTGAGAGTGATAAACCGCGCTATGCGGGTACAGGGACATTATGGCCGGTGTAGCAGGGTTAGGAAACATGTTACGCCGAGTGTAAAAACTCTGCTTGATGCATTTCACGGTTTGGGTGAGAGCATCATGGTGGAGCGCGCGCTCTCGTGGGAGCGCGCGCTCAATGACCTCAGTAGAGAGTCGATCCTTTCTGTGTTGACCCCCCATGGGCAGAGCTTCCCTTCGTGGGTTTTTTTTTTTGCGGCGGGACGGGTCACCAGAGAGTACCACAGCTTTATCGCTGGGGCCTCACAGCTGGTCGCACATCCCCTATCACAGTGTTATGGGGAATGGAGGCGCAGCTACGTGTTAACGGAGTAGATGAACAGGACGCTGAGACTGAGTTATTTACTCCAGTTTTGCAGCATCCCTCCTCCGTTCGCAGGCATAAGAGAGGCAAAGCTATCATCCCGAGGGAGATAGGTTTTCTCTCAGCAGAGGCTCCAAAACACAGAAAGTATTTGCGTTTTTTGCCTGGGGAGAGCTGTAGGTGGGCGCTGGTCTCTAACAGAGACGTGGCACAGCAACCTCCTAGTGCTACGGGCAGTAGTGTTGGTCCTCCAGCATGACAGACCCTTAATTCAGGGGAGACATGTAGTGGTCAGGAGCGACAACAGCACCACAGTGCATATATCAACAGGCAGGGCGGAGTCCGCTCCGCCGCTTTGTTGACCACAGCGGAGGGAAATGTCCCGGCGGAGAAGAGGTGATTTCTCCAGGACGCGAGGGTGAATCCCGCCTCCTCCCTGTGTGACCCTTTGGTTGCAATGGCATCTTTCTCAAATGAGAAAAGATAAATTGTATTCCAGTTTGAGTGTCTTTTCTTTCCACACACCCACACGGCCACGTAATGTTGACAGTACAGTTCCCCACTCGCTCCCCAGGTTGTGACTCCAGTAAAGGAGGCAGCTAGTGTGCATGCGCGGGTGAGAGTGATAAACCACGCTATGCGGGTACAGGGACATTATGGCCGGCGTAGCAGGGTTAGGAAACAATTAACGCCAAGTGGAAGAACTCCGATTGATGTTTTTTCACTGTTTGGGTGAAAACGTCATGGCGGAGCACGTGCTCCAACGGGAGTGCGCCGCGGTGCGTTCAAGGACCTCAGTGGAGAGTCGGCCCTTTTCTGTGTCGACCCCCCATGGGCAGAGCTTCCCGTCACGGGGAGTTTTGCAGCGGGGCGGGTCGCCAGAGAGTACCACAGCTTTATTGCTGGGGCCTCACAGTTGATTGCACATCCCCTAACACAGTGTTATGGGAATGGGAAACGCAGCTGCGTGTTAACGGAGTGGATGAATAGGACACTGAGACTGGGTTATTCACTCTAGTTTTGCAGCATCCCTCCTCCGTTCACAGGCATAAGAGAGGCAAAGCTATCATCCCGAGGTGGGATAGGTTTTCTCTCAGGCCTTGGTGCAAAAACAGGCAGTGTCTGCTGTGTGCA